TTATTTATTTGACAGAGAGAGACACAGCGAGAGAGAGAACACAAGCAGGGGGAGTGGGAGAGGGAGAAGCAGGCTTCCTGCAGAGCAGGGAGCCCGATGCAGGGCTCGATCCTAGGATCCTAGGATCATGACCTGAGCCGAAGGCAGATGCTTAACCCACTGAGCCACCCAGGTGCCCCTTTTTTGACTTAATTTTTTGTGTGTATGGTGTGGCCCAACTTAATTCTTCTGCATATGGATATCCAGCTGTCCCAGAACCATTTGTTGAAAAGACTGTTCTTTCCCCTACTGAACGGTCTTGCAACTCTTGTTGAAAACCAATCGACTGTATATGTGAAGTTGAGTTCTGGATTCTACATTTTTTTTAAGATTATTTATTTATTTGAAAGAGAGAGAATGAGAGAGAGAGAGAGAGCACATGAGAGGGGGGAGGGTCAGAGGGAGAAGCAGACTCCCTGCTGAGCAGGGAGCCCGATGCGGGACTCGATCCCGGGACTCCAGGATCATGACCTGAGCCGAAGGCAGTTGCTCAACCAACTGAGCCACCCAGGCACCCCACTGGATTCTACATTCTGTTCCATTTATCCATACATTAATCCTTTGTTTGTTTTTTTTAAAAGATTTTATTTATTTGACAGAGAGAGACACAGCGAGAGAGGGAACACAAGCAGGGGGAGTGGGAGAGGGAGAAGCAGGCCTCCCGCCGAGGAGGGCACCTGATGCGGGGCTCGATCCCAGGACCCTGGGACCATGACCTGAGCTGAGGGAAGACGCTTAACCAACTGAGCCACCCGGGCACCCCCCATACATTTATCCTTATGCCAGTACTATGTTGTCTTAATGACTGTAGGTGTGTAGTATGTTTTGAAATCAACAGGTGTGAATCCTCCAGCTTTGTTCTTTTTCAATATTGTTTTGGCTATTCTGAGTCTTTTGAATTTTCATGTAAACTTTAGACCAGCTTATTAATTTCTACAAAAAAGTCAGCTGGGATTTTGATAGGGATTATTTTGACCGGTAGATCAGTTTTGGGGGGGGGGTATTGTCATCTTAACAATATTAAGTCTCTTGATCACTAGATGACTTTCCATTTGTTTAGATCTTAATTAATTTCTTTCAACAATGTTTTGTTATAGGTTAATTTAAAAAATATTTTTTCTCTCTCTTCTTTCAATTGAATTATTTCTATCATTCTGTCTTCAAGTTCACAAACGTTGTTTCTGATAGTTCCAAATCTGCTGTTAAGCTCATCTGGTAAGCTTTTCATTTCAGAGATTGTACTTTTCTTTATACTTTCTATTTTCATGTGGCAATCCTCCATTGTTCATCAATTATGTCTATATTTTTTCTTTAAATTATCAAACATGTGTTAGTAACTGTGTTAAAGTCCTTGCATGCTTATTGCAACATCTGTGTCATCTCTGAGTTTGTTTCTATTGACTGCCTTTTTTCTCGATTTTGGCTCAAATTTCTTGCTTTTTCAGATGTCTGGTCATTTTTTGTTATCCGTTGGATATTGTGATGATAGGTTAGGAGTTTGTTGATTTAAAGGGTTTAAATATGCATTTCATTCAACTAGAGTCTCAGCCACAGGGCTCTGCCTTTCTGAGTCAGTCACTCCTAAGAAATCCCATGTTGCTGAGCTGTATGCAGGGGTTTTGGGAGTCTCACGGAGACCCACCCAAGTTTAGGCAGTGCATATGATACTTCAGAGTTTAAAATCTGGAGTCAGGGGCACCTGGGTGGCTCAGTTGGTTAAGCGATTGCCTTCGGCTCAGGTCATGATCCTGGAGTCCCGGGATCGAGTCCCACATCGGGCTCCCTGCTCGGCGGGGACTCTGCTTCTCCCTCTGACCCTACCCCCTCTCATGCTCTCTCTCTCTCATTCTCTCTCTCAGATAAATAAATAAAATCTTAAATAAATAAATAAATAAATAAAATCTGGAGTCAAACTATCTGGCTTTAAATCCCAACTATTCCAATTACTAGCTGTATCACCTACAGCAAATTACTTCATCACTTTGTGCTTCCATATCCCATATAATGGGAATTATAATTCAGTACCTACTTTATAGGATCGTTGATGTCATTGAATGACTTAATATATGTAATGTGCCTGCCATATACTAAGTGCTCAGGAGATATTAGTTTGAACTTTTAAAAAAAAGTGAAATGAGGGGTGTGCCTGGATGGCTCAGTCCGTTAAGCGTCTGACTTCAGCTCAGGTCATGATCTCAGGGTCCTGGGATCGAGCCCCATGTTGGGCTCCCTGCTGAGCGGGGAGTCTGCTTCTCCCCCTCCCTCTGCCTGCTGCTCCCCCTGCTTGTGCTCTAGTTCTCTCTCTGACAAATAAATAAATAAAATCTTAAAAAAAATTTTTTTTTCAAAGTATTAGTTGATGGAGGGTGTAATAAAAGGGTCTCATGGTGAATGACAGAAAATGGGACCATGGGGTGCCCACCCTTCTGCGCCTCACCCTGTTTGCCCCTGCCCCACCCAGGTGGCCTGGGATGAACCCACAGGTCCCAGTGCCCAGAACACTTTCTCTTGGGCGGGACAGGATTGCCTCCCAGCTCAGTCCGGGTTTTGCAACAGAGCCTGGCGATGGATGAGTTCATCTCCATGCAGGCTTGTGAGCTTTGTCCCGACAGGGTTGGAGGCTCTGGGTGTGGCCAGTTGGGTTAGAAGTGAGCTGGCTGACTGGCCCCACCCAACATGGCAGGAGCCTAGGTGGAGCTGGGACCAGCCTTTGGGGCTGAAGCCTCTCCCCAAACACACCTCTGCGGGAGCCTTGCACTGGGGACTCAGTCCCCAGGGTGCCTGCCCCAAATATGTTCCTTCTAGCAGATGTGAGGGACATGGCTTCGACCACCCGTGCCCTGTTCTCACCCTGAGAGACCATGGGTCCCTAGAAGTCCTCTGCCTGACCAGGGTCCCCCGGGAGCTGGTCCGTCCTGGGGCCCTAGCTGCTTCCGCTTGGGGCCAGCCTCCTCCATGGCACCATGGCCTCGGGAACATCCTCTGCCTCAGGTCAAATCTTCGAAACTTCACTCTTTGCCAAACCGTCTCCTTTAATTTCGCCGTACCCCCCATCCCAGCCTGGGTCTGGTAAGCCCAGTGACCTTGAATGCTCCTCTAGTCACTGCCATCACCTCTCAACCTTCGAGGCAAGGCCCCCATGCCCCCTGTGTGGGGGTTGCTGAAGCACTCTTCACGGTCGGAAGGAGGACCCCCCCTGGAGCCGTCAGACCTGGGGAAGGGACAGATCATTTCCAGCTCCGGGAATGTGGGCTTAATTCGGATTTTTATTTCATGGTAGGCAGTTATGTTTAACAAAATAACATCCAGCCTCTATGCTAAGTGCTCTGGGAGGGGCTTAGCCAGGGCAGCTCCAGAGGGTCCCTCCCAGAGGGCTTCCTGGAGGAGGGGGGTCTGAAGAACAGGATGCCGCTTGTGGGTTTTGCAAGGGGACGGAAAGTGACGATTACACATTTCCCAAGCCATCCTGATCCTGGAAGAAGCCTATTTACCCAGCCTCCTCGTCCATTTAGAAACTAGATCCAGCTGCCTCAGGGGTGCTGAGAGAGCTGGGCGTGGGGTTGCTGCCAGCTCTTGAACTGAGGACCTTTCTGATGCCATCCCCCACCCACACCCATGCCCAGCACCAAGTCCAATCATTAACGCCACCGCAGCTCAGCCCGCAGCAGGAGAGCATCAAGAGGAGGGAGGAATCATCCGCGTCCTGGGGACAGAGGAGGTCTGCGTTCCTTCCTGGGGTTCGCTGGGGCTGGGAACCCTTCCAAACACTGGTGGGGGCGAGGGGGGCTTCTGGCAGTTCTCAAAGGGGCTCATGACCCATGGCAGGCTCAGGGCTAGGACCCCTGACCCAGATGGTCAGGACAGCCTGAGGTGGCAATGGGCATTCACTGTCAGGAAAAGAGAACTTTCAGGAACTGGAATTTGGTGAAGGGCAGAATTTTCTGGAAGTGGGTGCGCGGGCAGTGACCTACCAGCTTACTGGGGTAGTCGGGAGGCATCTGACATCTGACTGGGGTCAGGACCATGGAACCACCTGTGCCCTGCCTCTGGGCCTTCAGGTGGGGCTTATAATTCCCCCTGAACGCCCAGCAGGGCCCTGCATGTCTTCCCCTCCCCAAGAGGCCGTCTGGATCCTGAAGTTGTAGCTTGCAAGGGATCGCTAAGGGGTGGGGGCCCCCAGGGCTGGAGGGGCGGCTGGGAGGGGGGTTTCCAAGGAGCAGGGGCCCTGGTGTTAGAAGGTTTGGGTTTGATGCCACAATCCTGCCAAGTCCCAGAGTAGGGGAAGAAGTAGAGGGGGCATGAGAGGGCAAGGGGCAGGGGCGTTTGCTGCCATGGGACAGGGGAGAGAAAGCTGTTTTATGATGCAGATAATGGGTAAATCTAGCGCGTGTAGTGTCCTGGTTCCAGAGTGGGTCACAGAGACCCAGGATCTGATCCCTGCTCTGCCTTCTTGCTGGGCACGCAACACCGGGCCAGTCTCAGGCTCTCCGGGCTGCTCTGCTGCTCATCTGGAGTACGGGCTCTGGATGACGCCTCCACTGCAGGGCTGTAGAGAGCATGCGAGGAGCCGGCACATGGAAGATGCTTGGCACAGCTCCTGCATTTAGTAAAGAGAAGTTAAAAAGTCGAAACCAAACCAAAAGGGAAGCTCCCAGCCCACCACGGGAGCCCAGGCGGGCTTCAGGTTCGGCGCCCAGCCACAGGGCCGTGTCGTCCTGCAGCCCACAGCCCGCCTCCCCTCCCCACACTGGTAGGTCCCTCTTCCTCTCTCGCTCCCCACCCTCTTATGTAAGGCTCACAGGTGGGCAGCTGGGGCCCGTGCCAGGTGGGTCAGCGGTGTCTGGGGCCACACCTCACCCACAGCCCCAGGGCAGGCCGGGGCGGGTTCCCTCGCATGCCCAGCCCCACTGCCTCATTACCTGGAGCCCTGGCAGCACCGACTCCCACACTTGGTGCCTTAGCCAACGGAGCGCAGGGAACGCCGAGTCCTGTACCTGCCTTCACGCGGGGGGAGACAGGTGAGCACCCTGTGCAGTCAGACCCGGCCCTGCTGGGCGTCCACTCTACCTCCATGCCCGTTCGGCCAGGAACCCGGGAACCTGAGAGAGCAGCTGGGAGTCCGATCTTCGAGGTGAGACAGGCCATGTGGACTAAGGAGAAGAGAGGGCGGTGGGCCACCGTGTGGAGGGGTCAGAGAGGCCCGTGCGGATGCAGCTCCTGGGCGGGCTGCTGGCATGGCACGCTCCAGCTGGGGTGGCCGGGACATTGGGTTCTGGAGGAGCTCCTCTCCCAGCTGGGGCCTTTTAGGATCCGGGGAATGTTGGGGCAATGCCCTGCCCTGAAATCCTCTGCTGTGTTCCCAGAGTTAGGGTCTCCCCTCGCACCCGGGGCGGAGAGAAGCAAGAACTGGAAGAAGGAATGGGGAGGGCGACCGGGGGGGTCAGGAGTCTGCAAAGCAGGAGTCCTGGGGCTCTGATTGGTTTGCTCATCCTGGTAAGCGCCTGGCCCAGGGAATAGAAACTGGAGCCCGAAGGCGAGTCTGTGTTGTTCTCGATGTGATGAGATGTGTGGGCTTAGCAGGCAGTAAATTACAGTCAGGTGCCCAGCCTCAGGAGCCGGTGAGTCCTGCCCAGCAAGGAGGGCACCTGCGTCCTCGCCTGGTCCGGCCACGGCCCGTGACGCACACCGTGTCTCTGTTGCAGGGCGGTCTGGTGGAGTGGGGCCTCTCTGGGGCTGATGCGTTCCCTGAGGTCCCCACTGTCTCCTGGGTGAGCTCGAGGGGCGCGGCCGCCCCACGGGGACCATGTCAGAGATGCTCCTGCTCAGGTCTGCCAACTCCATCCTGAGGACCATGTAAGGAACAGGGACCCCACCCCCCTCCCAGGGAGAGTACCCGGGCCACATGGCACCTGGACCCCCCGTCTTGGGTTTGGGGGTTTCCATTCCACTGAGTCACCCTCCCAATTGTACCCAAGAACTTTCTTTTCCTTACTCCCCGAAAGACCCATGACAGCCCCCCAGCAATATGTGAGAGCCACTGAGCACTAAGCACTTTGCAGGTACCCTGTATCCTCACCACAGACACGGGGCTGACGCAGAGCACCGAGGCTCAGAGAGGTACGGTGACTTGCCCAGGGTCACACAGCTAGTGGAGCTGAACCCAGATGGGCCAATTCTGGTGAGCCTCAGAAAGCATTTATTGAGCACCGATTGCATACAGCACAGTGGCCTGGCTGTTGAAGATGGAAAGGGAAGAAAGACAAAATAACTAGGAGATGGACCCCCCCCCCTCCAGGAGGGGCTCCCATGGAAAAGGAAGGCTCCTCTTGGCTTGTGGGTCACACACATGGTGAAAACTTGAGGAGGATGTTTCCTGAGCTCCAGCTGTGTACCTTAGTGCATCTCAGAGCCAGAGGACAGACAGACTCAGGGAGCTTACCAAGCCGCGTGCGGCATTCAAGGCCCAAACCGGAGTGTCCAAAGGCCGTGAGAGTGAAAAGGTGTTGGGGATAATGCCCGACGGCTTTCTGAAGGAGGAGCTGAACGAGGCTTGGTAGGCTCTGTCCTCAAATGGTCCCCTTCAGCTCCTCGGGCAAGACAGGAGGACAAAGGAGAGACCAATTGACCAGAGACGGTTAGGAGAGGGAGTGCAGGCTCTCCCAGCCCCCTCCGCCGGTCCCACGCACCTCACCTCGGGGTATATTCATGCACACACGCCCTTCAAGAGCTACCTCGCCCCCCGAGCAACCGGACAGGTGCTAAGCACATTTGGTTTCTGTGCAAGATCAGTAAGGCAAGGTGCTTATGGGGTATGTGCAAGCAGGAGGAGTCTAGTTTTCCAGAAGGAGAGGAATACTGTGCTCATCCCCTTTGACAGGCGCTGGTCCTGATCGCGGTGGTGCCACCTCGCCTGCTGGTCCCTCGCCGGCCCCCGAGGCCGCCCAGAACAGTGGCAGGAGTCAGAGGGGCATGGGAGGGGTCAGGGCAGTCGGGGTGGCTCCCCTCGGAGGACACTGGGAAAGCCAGGTCCCTGGGCTCACTCCCCAGGCAGAAGAGGCCGGCTTGTCCAGCGTTGGTCTCTCAGCCCCCGGGCCAATGCAAAAGGGGCCAGGAAAGAGGGGGCAGGTGCGTGGCTGGAGGCCCCCCTTCCCCCCGGCAGCCGCAGGAGCGTGGGCGAGGGTGAGCACTGAAGCCGGCGCCGTGGCACCCCGCCCAGACACGGGGCAGTAGGCCTGCGGGGAGGGCACAGGCCCCAGTGCCACGCACCGTGGCCCCCTTCCCTTCTGTGTCAGGAGCCAGGCCAGACGTCAGTCCCTGGTTGTGACCCCAAGAGCAGCCACACGTCACAGGGAGGTCCTGCGAAGTCTGTTTCAGACGGTGGGCGAGGGTGCCATCCCCTTCCAGGATGTTGACCTCTCTTAATGAGGCATCCAGCCTTCTGCGGCTCAGGGCTCCACATGGGCCGTGCACGGGGTAAGCAAGGTGTCCCTGTCACAGTCCCCAGAGGAGGACCGGCTCTACCCTGTGACCCCAGACGGGGGGCGGACAGCAGTGCGTCTGAGCCACCAGAGCCTGGCCCGTGCATGGGGGTGCTGGGCACTTGGGAAAGGGGCCCCCACACCCAGAAGTTTCCGCACGGGATAAGCTCCCTTGGCCCCCGGCTTCCTTAGGCAGCTGTCTTTTCGTTTCGTCCGTATTTAGCTTTTTTGAAACCAGAAGCAGTTTACACACATTTTTATCAGGTGCAGGAAATGCTGCCGGTACCTTCTGATGCTGGGGATTTAAAGCAGACTCATCTGGCAGGCGGTCGCAGCCTCCCACAGCCTCCGCTAATCTGGGGGTGGCAATTCCAGAGGCCAGTCGGCTGTAGGCGCCGGGTTCACCCTGCAGCTGGCCTCACTCCTTTGAGGACGCGGCCAGCAGAGTGTGGACCCTGCACCAAGTTCACTGTCCCCACTCAGGGACTCCCAGTGGGGCACCCTCGGCCCACGTGTGTGCGTGTCCCACATTCACCCACTAATTATATTGTCTGCGCCCAGAGCTCTGGAACCATTTGGTATCAGCACGGCTGTCTCTGTCCCAAAACAGATGCAGCATCCACTCTGCCACCGAAGCGAGTAATGGTGGCGGCCAGCGCCCCAAAGTCAGCAGGACGAGTTCCACGCACTCAGAACCCTCTGCCTGGCACAGGGGCCCCTTGGTCCCTGTGCCAGACAGAGGAGCCTTGCTCACAAAGTTCCCAAGAACCGACTTGCCCCCACGTGCCCCCCTTCTCCCCAGGCCCCTCCCTTCATAACCTCCTGATGTCTTTCACTTTAAAACCTATCTCAGGTTCTTAAGCAGACTGCGGCCAGGTGGGCCTGGGTGCGTTCGCAAACTTAGTTTGAACCTGCAGTACCAGCAAGGAATAAGGCCGAATGTGACAAGCAGGTAACTGGCCCAACAGCCTGGGAAGTGGGCAGGGATGGGACTAGCCCCACCCTGACAGACGGATGGGACTCTCTGGAGCCAGGGTCCTGCCCTTGGGGCTGCCATGACCAGCTGCACAGGTTGCACACTGCACAACTCCAGTAGGCTCTGTTTACATACTGATGAGTGTGAAATATGCCTGTGGAGTTGTGTAAGGCCGTAGTCCTGCTTGACTCTGGTGCATGTACTGAACTCCATCCGCTCATCACCCAGGATGTTGAGGTCTGGCCAACTGAACCCTGAGGACAAATGGTGCCAAGGATCGGTCGGCTGACAACAGAGACCCCATAACCCCTTGTGCTATCCGGCTGGAAGGGGAGATCCATCGTCTAGAGCCACCAGGCCTGGGAAGCGAGGAGGATCTGGGCCAGGGGTGAAGGGGTGGAGGCAGATGGCCTGAGCCCCAGATCTCTCTGGCTCCACCCCTGTTCTCTCCATGGGGCAATAGGCTAGGGCCTCCCACAGGCCCCCTTGGGGAGGGGAAGTCCTCACTGGGGTCTGCACAGGACACGTGGGAGCCCTAGAAATGTCCTCAGCTCCACTCTGAGCTTCTGAGCATGGCTGTTTCCAATGTCTGAGGCCCAGGGGGTGTGGGAGTGAGGAGGAGGGGCTCCACTGGAGTTGTGCCCAGAATCGGCCAGTGCTGAACCCCCAAGCCTTTCCGTGTCCAGATGGGGACACTGAGTCCAGAGGGAGCTGTGCCCAGAGTCACACGACAAACTAGAGCAGAGCAGGGCTCGGTGCTGAGAACTTGCAGGGAGAGCCTGGGTGGGGTGAGGTTAGCCTGCGGCTCCGGAGGTCTTGTCCCCTGACCCCCACCGGGAGGCAGAGATGCCTGCCAGAGGCAGAGATGCCCGTGTCACCCCCGGGGTGCCCAGATGGAAGCCAGGCCAAGCTCGAGGGTCTCACGTTGTTTCTCCCGTCCCCAGCAGCTCCCTGACTGATGGGCAGACGCTCTCCAAAGAGTCCCTAAGCCATGCTCTCGTGCTCTCGTCCTCAGAGAAGGAGAAGGATGTCCAGCTGGATGGGTCAGGTGAGCTGGCTGGGAGGCTGCGGGCTGTGCTGGGGTGCTAGAGGGCCACGGGCAGCACCCGGGCAGAGGCCAGCTGGAAGAGCCACAGGACAGGACTTGGGGGCCGCAGCAAGTAGAAATCCCGCCGGTTGCCATGTCCCCAGGGACCCCGCCACACCCCTTTCCTTATGGCTGCGTCAGGGCCAAGCCTGAGGGAAGGCAGTGAGTGGTGGGGAGGACGGAGGCAGGGAGGCAGCCGGGGCCTCTGGATGGGTGGAGGCCCTGGGGAGCAAGGCTGGGAGCTCCCAGCCTGGCAGCCTGGGGTGAGGTGCCGGTCGGGGGGCTGGGAGTGGGCAGAGTGTGTGGGAGGCTTGCAAAGACCTTCGCCCTCAGACAGTGGCCCCAGGAGGGTGGCGGAGCTATATCATTTACCCGGAACAGTCATCAGAATGATAGTAGCCACATAGCTTCCTTCATTTTTATTGGCTATCTGACAACATTGTAGCAACAGCACAAGTCCAGCAAAAACTGAAACAGTAAGCGCCTGGGGCAGGGGTCACCGCCTCCGGGGTCTGCGCTGTCCTTGGGGTGGCACATCCTCTGGGAGCAGAGACTCCCCAGACGGCCCCCTCGCTCGGGTGTTTGCGGGGAAGCGTTTGAACTCGGCGCGTCTTTGGCAGAATGTCCTTCAGTATGGGTCCGCCTGGTGTCTTCCTCGTGGTTAGACTAGGTCTGGGATTTGGGGAGCAAGTGGTAGTGTTTGAGGGGGAACTAGCTGGGGAGGTCATTTCTTCAGGTCCCTGCGCAGGACCGAAGGGCGGGCGGAGCCGGCAACAGGACAAGGGGAGGCTCCGGCCTGGCTTTCTGGGTTGGAGGACAGACACAGCGTCAAAGCAAAGGTCACCATGCCCACTAGAAGAGATGCCAAGGGGCGTAAGGAGGGCGGGCTCCCTGGGGAGCAAGTGCCAGTGACCTCCCCCAGTGGGGCAAGCGCCACCATCAGACAAGCTGCCCCTCTCCCGGGCTGGACGTCTTGGGCTAAAGGAGCTGCTGGGGACCACTGCTGTCAGCAGGCGCATGGCAGAGTTGTCCCCGGGGACGTCAGCCCTCCCCGGGGCGCTGTCCGGCCAGCCTCGTGAGGGTCATGCTCTGCCCAGCTTCTCCTGTTCAGCCCCGGGGCCTCTGGGGCGCGGCTGAGGTGAGATCTGAGTCCAGCCAGGACCGAGCGCCTGCCATGGGCCAGCCTGGTGCTGGGGCTTGCTCTCGAGACTCCCCCACGGGGCCAGGAGCCCAGGCTCCAGCCTCTGCAGGGAAGGAGGTGGGAAGGAGTCTTGCGGCTGCCCCGTCTGGAAGCATGCTCCGTAGGATCGGGAGAAGGCCCCCGTCCCCGTGGAAGACTGTAGGGAGGGGGCTGGAGGGTGGTAGGAGGGGTTCAGTCCTCCTTCCCCACCCGGCTGCCCCCTGAGAACATTTACCCCATGCTAGGCTTTGTGCTGAGGGCTTTGCAGTCTTTCATGTTGTCTTCAGAGCCCCACCGGGTAGGCGCTCTATCAGTCCCACGTGACGGAGGTAACCGAGCTCAGAGAGGTTCAGTGGCGCCGCCGGAGGAAGTGGAACTCTTGGCTGGCCACGCTGCCTCTTTGGGCCCTGAGTAGCAGTGCAGTCCCCTTCGGGCCTGGCCAGCCCCTGCCTGCCCTCCCGCGAACCGCTGATCTGGCAGCCCCTCTGGGGAGCTCTGGGAGGCCTGCCTTCCGCAGTCAGCATCCACCTGGCCCTCCCTGAGTTCCCAGAACCTTGAGGGTCCTCAAGCTCCTGCCCCCAGGCCAGGCTCTGAGCTAGCAGTAGGCCCACTGAATCTGACCACACAAAGTCAGCCTTGCGCCGGGCCCTGGAGACACAGTTCTTTCTAGCCTTTTCTAGCTGAGCATGAACCCCAGCTGGAGCAGGGCAAGGCCAACACTGCAGGGAAGGGGAGGGGGTCCAGGGAGGGTAGCTGCTGGAGATGAGGCTGGCCAAGGCCTGCCCCCCACGCCCACTCTTCCTAGCAGACTCCTACACCCACCAGGGAGCTCTGACGCGGGGGTTTCTAGCCCCATGAGGCCCGCGGTTGGGTCAAGGGCTGCACGGGGCCTCCCTCTGTCCCTCACTCCCACCCTTCCCAAATGCTTCAAAGGCACGGCTGCTCTTTGGCTGGAAGGAGACAGATACAGCCTTGTCCCAGGGAGCTCACAGCCTGAGGCTGGGAAGCAGGGTGGGGCCAGCGGGAGACAGAGGTCCCCACTGTCACTTCAGCCTCCGGTGGGGGTGGGGGTGGGGAGGTAGGACAGACCTCACCCCGAGTACAGGGGAAATTCATGTAGGCAGCTCCTCACCTGAGAAATGGGAGCGAGTGGGAACCCTAGCCTCACCAGCCAAAAACAGTGGGGATCCTTGTACAAACTTTTTCTAATCAAATGTCCAGTTCTGTTAAGTTACAAGTGTGTATTAGAGGCTTCCCTGGGCCCAGAGTGGCTCGTGTCCGATGTAGTTTTGGAATATAGGGGAGGTTGGTGGGATCTGGAGCCCACGGCCAAGAAAGAACTCTTGAGATGTCTTTGGGGCAAAATGGTGGTTTTATTAAAGCCCCGGGACAGGGCCCGTGGGAAGAAAGAGCTGCTGCCCCGGGCTTGTGAGCGGTGGCTGAGTACATACTTGTCCAGGCCCAGAGTTGCTCATGTCTATCCCCGGGGTGCTGATAGGGTGTGTGTACAAGGGAGAGGCCCGGAGGCCGGGCTCATGCCCAAAATGACATGAAAACCACCTTGGGCACCTGGGGACCGGCCCCAGGGGTGGCCCTGAAGCAGGTGCCGGCAAAGGGAAGCAGAGCTCTGTGGGGCAGGAGGAGACGGGCTCCGGGGTCCATGTGCGTTTCCTGCGCACGCCCACCACAGGGCGGGCAATGCCCATCTCAGCGCCCCCACTGCCATGGTCCAGGCCTGGACAAGTGGAATTCTGGGGGGTAGAACATAAAAGCTAAAACAGTGACCCCAGGGGGGCCCACAGAGATCATCTTGTCCCTCCCTCCCGATTGTGATTCAGATGGGGAAACTGAGGCCCAGGGAGGACAGGGGTCTGCCCAGGTTTTCTCTGCTGAGTGGCCACAACCCAGAGCTCCTAACCCTCGGGCAAGAAGGCTGGTGAGTGGCCAGCAGGTGGAGGGGGTCTCTCCCACCTCAGACACAGTGGAGCCAAAGTCACATTCTGGTACATTCTGTACAAGGTCTGGACAAACTGTTCTGTCCCAGGCAGGCCTTATCCTTATCTCGAGTCCTGTTCTGAGGCCGCCATGGCCTCTTCCCCTTAAATATCCCCACGAGTACCTGGCACAGGTCTGAGCAGTGTCCAAGGGCCGCGGCAAAGGGTCCCTGTGTGCAGAGGGAGCGTCCTGGCCCCCGTCCAGGCTGGCCTCGGCAGCGGGGGCTTCGGCGTCCGGCGCTGACAGGAGCATCTCGGAGGCAGATGTGTCCCAGGCCTGAGAGCCTCCGCCACCGCAGGCCCATGCATCCCTCCAGCTGTACAATAGGCTCGTTCTTGGCCATTCCCACGGCAGCAGTAACCACCCCCGGGCTTCTCCTTCCCCGCCACCCGCCCTCGCCCCTGTTTTTCCTCCTTCCCGGCCAATTGAGAGTGATTTCCTCTGCTGTTCAGAAGCCTTGATCCCAGAGCCCCAAGGACAGCAGCTCCCAGCCTGCCGGGCCGCCCCCAGCATAATAGGTGATTGATAAGACCCAGCCCAGGGTCAGGCCAAGACCGGTGGCCACGTGAACGAGAGAAGGCGAGGAGGGCCCTGACCTGGCATGGTCTCGTGTGTTCTGGGGGCTGGCGGTTGGCCGCGGACTGCTAGCTGGGTTGGGTGTGGGTGCCTTCCTGGGTGACAGGGACCTCGGCTGGGTCCTGGCTGTGTTCTCGGCTGCTACTGGAGCCGTGAGCTTGGTTGGGCACAGCAGATCTGCGTCCCTGTTGAACATCAAGGTGGGGGTCGGGGACACTTTAAAGGGCTGGCAACCCGTCCCAATTTCTAAGTCTCTGCCGCCACCCCGGGAGCCACCCTCGGAGCGGCAGGCCGACGGGCACCCCCAGCTCATGGGCCCTCCCCACTGCTTGGGTCTGGTCGAGGGCCAGGCTCCTCCCCCAACCCCATCCCCAAGGGAATGGACCGTGGACCCTCACGCCTACACCCCATTCGGCTGCCAGGACTGACTGAGGCCTGGCCCCACTGTTGCCTCTGACCTGCTGTGACCTTGGCCATCCCTGCCCCTCATAGGGAAGGCCCCTCACGCCACCGATGTGCCGCATGTGGGAATTCCCGACCACTTCTCCGCTAATCCGTCCGTATCCCAACGGGCACCACAGGCTTAGCCAAGTGCAGTGGTTCCACGGGCTCAGAGTCTGTCCGGAGAGAAGGAAGGAGGGTTTCGGGAGCGCCCGCTGTGCTGGGATCCGAGATGCAAATGGTTTCCGCTCTGCCAGTGAGCTGACACCACGCTCCACCCGATGTCCTCCTGCGGGCATTTCCTTGTCATTAAACTCTTTAAGACTTGATTTTCATGACCACTTAGCATCCACGGTGTGGCTCCCCCTGAAGCATTTACCAGTCCCCTCTTGGGGACACTGGGTCGTTTCCAGTGACCTTGCTCATAGAAACAGAGCCATGGAGAGATGGGCCTCCGGGCTCCCAGTGTCCAGACCTCTGCTCCGTTCCCACGGGCTCTTCCTGCCAGTGTGGCTGCGGCTCCAATGGGACTCCTTTTCAAAGCCCTTTGGTATAGTTGGCTGATTGCCCCCAGGAAGCTCGTACTGACTCACGCTCCTGGCTGGTCGTGAGCGGCATTGGCTGGGCTGGTGACATCTTTGCTGTTTCGCGCTTCTTCACGTTGGGAGAGACCCCGTGCAGGAGGCGGGTGGGCCGATGAGGTCAGATGGCTCCGGCCAGGGAGGTCATCACGACGACAGGCCAGGCGGGGACGAAGCGAAGCTCGGCGTGGCCTAGGAGTTGGGAAGTAATGGACTCCCGTGGCTCCCTGTGCGGTGGCAGCCACCCTTGGGCACACTCAGCCCACCACCCACTTCTCCAGGCTCCCCACCCCAGCGGGCCGCGGCCTCTGCCACCCATTCTCTGCAAGGCCTGCTCCGATGCTGCAGAGAGAAGCTCCCCAGGCGCGGTGACCCTGTGTGCTCGGCAGCTGGCACCAAAGGCCGAGACCCCTGAGCTGTGGCAGCCTCGGGCAGAAGGACACTGAGCCGGGCTCCCAGGCACACAGAACGGAGGTTCGCGTGGCTATGTAGGCAGGCACCCACTCAGTGGGCCAGCCTGTCTCAGTACTTGGGCAAGAAGGTGACCTGCATCACCGTCGGGCCATGCTGGTGAGCGGGGGGAGGAAGAGCAGAAGGCCTGGGTCCCCTAGACACACAGGGACCCTGGGACAGGGTTAGGACAGAAGCTAGCTCCTTTTTCCCTGAAGGCCCCCTGACCTCCGCTCCGGGCTGGGCTTCTGCACTCGGGCCCCAGGAAGTAGTCACACTGCTTACAAGAGCCTCCAGCTGTGGGAGAGGCTTGACCCTCAGCAAGGCCGGCTCCAGTGTTCAGGGAGGGGTGGTACTTGGGACCGGAAGCGCGGGAGAGCTGTGTGGCGGGGAGCAAGTCTCAGTCAGAGACACAGTGTGGGCCAAGGCACGGAGTGGGGGGCAGGGGGCACCAAGAGCCGCTCAGGCTGGTGCTGAGGTCACAGAGGGTCTTCCTCAGAGGCCACAGTGTGCACAGCACCCTGGGGTCAAGGTCAGATCTGGGTTCCGAAAGGTCTCTCCGGGAGCCCTGGAATGTGGGAAAGGCAGTGGTGGCCACTGCCCAATGTCACCGCTCCTGAGCTCCCCTCCAGGCCTTGGGCAGGAGGCAGGACAGTCCTTTCCAGAAGGAGACACGGGCACTGGGTTCCGCGGGGGCCTGGGCGTTAGCCTGTGGGTGGGAATCCAGCTCTGCCCCCAGCCGCGCAGGTGACTCGCCTCCCCGTTTCTCAGAGGGTCAGCTGTGCTGCCTCGGAGGCTGGGAATAAGGTACGTGCCGCCCACCTGCAGCACAGCGGGCACTCGGCAAGCCATGACCACGGCAGCACTCCATGGGCAGGGTAGTGACTGGGCCTCCAGGACGGCGAGCAGGCCCCATGCCCACCAAAGCCTTTCCTCTGGCCGGTCTGGGGGCTCGGGGGCCCAGCTGGCTCAGCTTGGCTGTTGGAGCCGGTGCGGAGAAGGGCCGGCTGGAGCCCGGGGCTGCAAGCCCCGCCGTAAGGCACCCATCCCCCAGGCTGGCTCTCCTCCCTGGGCAGGTCAGCCGGGCTAAGTGGAGCCAGGCTCACAGGCCCACCAACATCCCTTCTTTTTCTGGTCCCCTCTGTCCTGTGCGCAGAGCGCGGGCACCGCCAGGCGGGACCACACCATTAGCAGGAGAGCAGAAGTTAGACGAAGGAACTCTGTCTGACATATCCATCCAAAGGTCATATGCTTTTTCCTTCTGATTCAATGAACCCACTTCTAGAAATCTATCCTTTGGAAAGCTTGGAACAAGGGCCAAAAGCTGGGAGCCGTCGGAGTGTGCGTGGCTGGGAAAGTGACTGGGACCGGCGCTCGCCCCCCGCCCGCCCACCTGCACGGCCAGAGACTCCCTGAGGTCACAGAATTAAGGATGGGTGATTTTTGACAGCTATGTTTGATTTGGTCTGCATAATGTGGTTTTTTTTTTAAGATTTTATTTATTTGACAGAGAGAGCACAAGCAGAGAGAGAGAGGGGGAGAAGAAGGCTCCCTGCTGAGCAAGGAGCCCGATGTGGGACTCGATCCCAGGACCCTGGGATCATGACCCGGGCCGAAGGCAGCTGCCTAACCGACTGAGCCACCCAGGCGTCCCTGCATAATGTTTTTTTAAAGTGTGAGCCAACATTGAAATATGGGGTGATTGCACACAGACACCCAAGATGTCAGGTAACCCTTAGTTCTCATTCCTGCAGGGCACCAGCTTGCCCCTGCCGATGAGCTGTGCCCAGCATTCCCACCATGCCCTGTGCCCCCCCCCCGTCGCGGGGGCGGGGCTTGGGACAGTTACCGTGCCCTTGGACTGTAGCTCTCCTTCGTGAGCACTGTTCTTTATCGAGAACGGAGAAACAGAAGGAGGTTTCCCAGAGCCCTGTGTTTCCGGGACGGTGAGAAGGAGCCTGACTCTTTGTGGGAATGCAGACTCTGGTCCCGTGATTCCCACGCAGACCCTGGAGTGCTTCACTCATGTATTATTTATCGTTACGCATTAGTTTTTTAAAGATCTGAGTTACTCATTTACGAGAGAGAGAGCACAAGCAGAGGGAGAAGCAGACTCCTTGCCGAGCAAGGAGCCCCACACGGGACTCGACCTGAGGACCCAGGGATCGTGATCCGAGCTGAAGGCAGACACTTAACCAACTGAGCCACCCACGCACCCCTCTTTACACATTATTTTTTGTGATGCTGACACCTGGCCCCTCTGGGCATTTTGGGTTTGCTGCCCTTGATTCATGCAATAGTAACAGGGCCTGGGGTGCCTGGGGGGCTCAGTAGCTTGAGTGTCTGACTCTTGGTTTTGGCTCAGGTCCTGACCTCAGGGTCCTGGGATCGAGCCCTGCATCTGGCTCTGCGCTTAGTGTGGAATCTGCCTCTCCCTCTCCTCTCATGCCCCCGAGGGACCTGCCCACCGGGAGAATCCACCTTTTCTGGTTTAGGGACCAGGGAAGGGAAGAGGGCCTCCAGCTGCCCAGGTATTAGAGAACTTGTATTGAGGTATAATTGCATGGCCTCAAATTTACCCACTTTAATGTGATAATTTTCCACTGAAAAAAATCATTTTTTTGATTAGCGAATTTTCACGGTTGTACCAACATCGCTGCAATCTGATTGTAGAACATTTCCATCACCTCAGAAAGATCCCTGGTGTCCATTTGTGGTGACTCCCACCACCGGGCAACCACTAACCCGCCTTCTCTGGACAGTTCCCATACATGGCGCATCCTCTGGCTTCTTTCTGGGAACACAGTCTGAGACGCACCGTGCTGCGCCCATAGCAGCCATGTCTGCCGCTTTGGGGTGGACTTGTGTTCGGGGTGGGGTGGGGGTGGGGTGCCAGGCTTGACTCTGGTCACCGGCGGACGGGCGTTTGGTGGTTTCCATGTCTGACCATTACAAATGATGCTGATGGCATTCATATCCACGTCTTTCTGTGGCAAATTCCGTGGCCTCCTGGGAAGCTAGGAACCAGCTCTCCTGTCCCAGCCCGGGGTCTTCTGTCAACTTCAGGGTCCATGTGCAACCCAGGAGTGTCCGGAGTGTCTGGAGGGGAGGGACGAGGTCATCCCACGGGATGGTTTTGAGGTTGGTGCCATCCGTGGCTGGGGCCACCCATGCGGTCCAGCCAGCCGGTGGCAGGGCAGCCCCCTTCCTCCAGAGGGTCGTCCGCTCCGCAGGACAGCCCTGGCCCAGGGAAAGGAGGCCCCGTGGACAAAAGGGTCTAGACCTACCGCTCACGGGGCCGGCTCTGTGACCTTGGGGAGATGCCCGGGCCTCCCTGAGCTGCGCTGCCCCATCGGCAAACCGAGGCACCACCCCCTGTGGGGTAGACTGGGTCCCTGCGGGAGGGATTCTGCACAGCGCCAGCACCTGACGAGAAGGAGTGAAGGCTGACCCTGTGGCTGGGACCCTACTTGGGCTAGTCCGAGCCACTGGGCTCTGGTCCCCCGTCGGGAGGGCTGTTCTTTCTGCGGCTTTGAACTTCCATCCAGTTGGGTCTGTCCCTGATTCTCAGGGGCAGAGGAAGGGTGGGAAACCCAAAGCACGTTGAGTTCTGATGGCCCCGCTCTTCTGAGGGGGCCCGAACACCACTGACCACCCAGCCTCGAGGGGCAGGTTCCACTGGCACGAAGACAGGGAAAGGTCTAGGCCCTCAGTGTCTTTACGGTCTCCCTAAGCCTTGCCTATCCTCGGGGCTGTCAGACCTCCTCTTCCAGGCAGCCTCCCAGCTGCCCCGGTTCCGATCTGCCACCACCCATGGCCCAGCCCCCAAAGCACTGTTGGGACCGGCGGCCTGGGAGATCTGCCCCCCGGGAGGACCAGGGCCTCAGGGGGTGGGGGCGGGGGACCCTGGGCCAGCATGACCCCAGCTGTGGTCTCCCTCCCCCGCAGAGGAGAAGCTGTGGACAACGCGGGCAGACGGACGCGTGCGCACACGCATCCACCCCACCTGCCCACAGCCTCCCTACACTGTGCACCAGATGTTCTCCGAGACCCTGGACAAGTATGGGGACCTCCGTGCTATAGGCTTCAAGCGCCAGGGCACATGGGAGCACATCTCCTACTCCCAGTACTACCTGCTGGCCCGAAAAGCCGCCAAGGGCTTCCTGAAGGTGAGGGGCCCCTTGAGATGCAGCCTTTCCCTCCCCAGACCTGCCTTCCAGCTCTGGACCCTTGTAGGCCTCCTCCCTGACCCCCAACCTGGCGAGCCTTTAGAAGGAATAACTGTAAAACCATTCCCGTGTATTGGCCCGCTGGGACGTGCTGGCCCTCCCCACGTGCCAGCCACTCAACACCTGGTTTTCATTCATGATCACACTCGAGTCAGGCTGGGCTGCCTGCTGGGCTGGGCGGAGGGCCTGACTCCCTGGGAAGGTGCCGGGAGGGGCAGCAAGGGCCCCAGGGCATTCTCCCACTGGGTGCCCTGGGAAGGTGGTCCCCGCGGTCTGGAAGGGGGCCTGGCTGGGAATGAAGAGGCCCCCTTCCGTGCCCACTGACCTGGCCTGTCGGCCTTGGTCCTGGAGCTCGGCCTGGAGCCGGCGCACAGCGTGGCCATCCTCGGCTTCAACTCCCCGGAGTGGTTCTTCTCGGCGGTGGGCACGATATTTGCAGGGTGAGTGGCTGGGGGTGGGGCACAGTCTCCGGTGGGTCGGAGGTGGGCAGAGAGGGGAAGGAGGGCTGTTCCCTTTTTCAGAGGCCCCCATGCCCACCCCAGACCCCATCTCCTCCCTGGGGGCCCTCTCGGGACCCCTCTGCCCCCTGCCTGGGCAGCAGTACTGAGCTGGCAGGGGAACCCTGCCTGTCCGGGCGTGGCAGCCCCCTGGGCAGGGCTGCGGGCTGGGCGGAGGGAGAGGCCCTCTGCACCAGTTCAGACACGAACCTTCCCGGGGCTCCTGCAGCGGCATTGTCACTGGCATCTACACCACCAGCTCCCCCGAGGCCTGCCAGCACATCGCCCATGACAGCCGTGCCAACGTCATTGTGGTTGACACACAGAAGCAACTGGAAAAGATCCTGAAGGTTTGGGGCAAAGGGGAAGTGGGCACGGGGGCCAGAGGCCAGGTGTCCTTGTGGACCTCCAGCTTACAAAGGAGTTTCCCATCCTCCCTTCCGGGGTCCCCCTCATCCTCCACGGCAACCCCATGACACACAGATACACATAGAACAAGGCAGGGCAATGGGTACCTTCCCGCTGGCCAGCTCCGGACCCTGAGGACCAGGAAGCCCAGGATGGGGTGACAGCATTGGGCTAGGGCCACCAGCTGGCCCACTGCCTCCTGTGGACACTGGGGTCCTCTGCCGGTGGCAGGGCTGTGTGCCGTGAGGGTGGCCCAGGGCCTGGACACCTTGAGCACTCAAGCCTGACCTTCAGTGCAGGATCAGGGGTGGGGTAGGGGGCTGCCACAGGGCAGGGGCTGCAAGTCTTACAAAGTCTTCTAAAGACAGCGGGGGCATAGCAAGACCTCGAAATCACCCCTTGAGCCAGCCGGATCTCCTCTGCAGAGGGGGGATTCACTTAAGACCCCTCCCTTGATTGGCTGCATCCCACGTGAACCACGGCCAGGGTGTGGCAGCCTGGGGACTGCCCCGAGCCCCAGCCGTACCCACTACCTGCCCCCGGCGCGGTCCTCAGGGGCTCCTTGCATCCCCGAGGCCTGTGGGATTGACTTGGAGGCTCGGCTCTGGTTCTGGAAGTGTCCCTGAGGGTGGGCAGTGGGATCTGGATGCCCAGAGGGGCGGCTGGACCAGGGGCCCCCCTCCATCTCCAGTGAAGAGGTCACCCCCTCAAGCCTAAAGAAAGAAGCCAGCTTGGTTGGCCATTGGCTCCCATCAGAATCCTGGGCCGGCCGGGGCTGCCGCCAGACCCCTGAGGCAGAGTCACTGGAAGCCGACCCCAGATCAGAGTGTGTTTTGAAATAGCTCCCGCAGTGAAGCTGTGGGCCCCCTGCCTCAGTTTGCGAAGGCTGGTGTTCTGGACGCAGCACCTCCCCATTCACGTGGCCCAGGCTCCCCCATGTGCTTCTCTGTGTCCAAGTCCCTTTCCGTGAGGACAGCAGCCATGGTAGGTCAAATCATTTAAACCTGATTCCCTCTGTAAGGACCCTATTTCCAAAGAGGAGCCCATTCTAAGGTACTGGGGGGTTAAGACTTCAACATATCTTTTTGGGGGACAGAATTCAACCCATAGCAGTACCATATAAGTGCTTTTAAATTATATTGTTAAAGTCAAGAACTTTAACATGGGAAGAAAGAAAGGCGTTGTTATTAAAACTTAGGAGGTCTGAAAGGCAGTTCATCCACCCCCGTCCGCATTTCACACACAAAGAAACAGACCTGGGGGGCGGGGGTCTCAGGGAGGCGGCGGTTACCGTGTTCGGGTGCGTACAGCACAGCGGCCCTGAGAAACGGTCTTGTAAGCCCATTTTACAGACAAGGAAAGTGAGGGCCAGAGAGGTGCAGGATGGCTGACTCAGTTCCGTCCCGTCCCCTGTAAAAGTGGCAATAGGGGAGGGACGCTGGGGCACTTTTCATGCTGGGTTCATACAGGGGAACCGCAAGAACCAATTGAGAGAGTCAATGAGGGGGCCTCGTGGGTCAGCAGCAACAGAAGGTAGCATGGGGGCACGGAGGGCCATGTCGGCACTCAAACGGAAGGCATGACAGGCCCCAGAGGGCAGCCACTGTGGGAGGGGGTGTTGAGGGAGCCCCCGCCAGGGGCGAGGCAGGAAACGGTCTGGACAGGCCCCGCGTCCCATGGGCCGGTGCCGGGACGAATGCCACCTGCGGGCTGCTCGTGCCAGGCAGGGTTTCATCGGAAATGCATCAAGCCTTTCCATCCAACAGCAAGTACAAAAGTTGAGCAACAGGGGGAGGAGATGGGCGGGTAAGTCTGGAATGTGGGACACTGCTCAGGACGGCTGACCTAGTTTCTGCAGCGAGTTCATGGCAAAGGTTCTCACCCTCAGTCCCGTGTTGGAAGCACCCCCCAGGTGTGTTCCACATGAGGTGCCGGGCCCCACACCCCTCAGTGTCAGATTGCAGGAGGCCTCGGGTGGGGCCCGAGGATCTGTATTTCTAACAATTTCCCTGGTAAGGCTGCCCTGTCCTAGAGGGAAGCAAGGTGGGGCTTTGCTCTGAATTAAAAGACACTTAGACCCCAAGTCAGTTTGTCTTCGGGTATTCCATTTTATCTCCAGTGGCTTGTTAGTTATTATGTTAGTGTTTGCTCTCGGGTTTACCGTTTGCATTTTTAACTTAGCGTGGTCTGCTTTCCCATCGCATGACTCACAGCTGTGTGCTGTGCACGGTCACAGGGTTCTGCTACTTCACCTGTGACGCAGGGTCCCCACCAACATCCTGCCTCCTCCCCGCCTCCATTCTGCCTCCATCCAGGTTACAAACCCTACACTACATTGTTTTAAATGGTCGAGTATCATTCAAAGGCATTTTAAAAGAGGGAAAATGTCTCTCATATTTACCCACCCGTTGCCATTCCTTTCCGTAGATACAAGTCTGCTTCTGGCATCATCTTCCTGCCTTAAGGATTTTCTTCAACATTTCTTATAATACACATCTGAAAATGTGTTTATTTTCTTTTTTTCAAAAGATATTTTCACATGGTTTAAAATTCTGGGTTGATAGGATTTTTTTTTTCTTTCAGCCTTTTAAAGATTCCATTCCAGTGTTTTCAACTTTATGTAGTTTCTGATGAGAAGTCTATTATTTTGTGTCTTTGTTCCTCTCCGTGTATATAGGGTATCTTGTTTCTCTGGCTGCTTTTATTTATTTTTATTTTTTGACTTCTTAAGTTTTTATTTTGGTTGCTGTGTAGTTGATACATTGTTTCAGTTTTTGGCAATATTAATTTCAGGTGTACGATTCAGTGATTCAGCACTTCTGTGCATCACCCGGTGCTCATCACGACAAGTGCTCTCCTTCATGCCCATCACCTGTCTCCCCCATCCCCGGAGTGGCGGCACCAGCTTGCGTTCCCACCACCAGTGCACAAGTGTTCCTTTTTCTTCTCTGGCTGCTTTTAAGACTTTTTTCTTCATCATTGGTGTTTAGCAGTTTGTTATGTTGTGTCTTGGTGTGGTTTTTCTTTGTGTTTATCCTGCTTGGGGTTCATTGCAAGTCTTGAATTGGTGGATTTATAATCAAATTTGGAAATTTCTCAGACTTCTTTTCAATTTTTAAAAAAATATTTCCTGGGATTCCAGTTACATCTATGTTAGGCATCTTGGTATTCTCCCACGGGCCATGTCCTTCCCATTTTCTCTCTCTCTCTGAACTTTGAGGCCTGTGTTTGGCCTTTCAGGGCAGGTTCACAAGGTTTAGCGCCAGTGCTCAGATCTGACCTCTCTGGGTCTCTGCTGAACGCCTCCAGGGGCCCCTGCATGCTGGCTGACGGACATACAGACGGTTCCGGCCCCTTATGAGCTCTGTCCTCCTGCCCCAGTGGCTGCCGTGCACCCTGGCACTCAGCCAAAGACTCCGGAGCACCAGGCACCTGACGAGAGAGTTCTAGAACTTTCTCTTCCCAGTTTCTCCTCACTAGTGTCCAGTCCTACAGACTCTAGCCATCACGGCTTTCCTGAACTCTATGCTCTGTCACCTCCACTCAGCAAGAGACTGAATTCTGTTCCCCCTCCCCCTCTCTGTCCCCCTCCCCTCCTCTGTCCCCCTCCCCCGTCTGTCCCCCTCCCCCTCTCCGTCCCCCTCCCCTGCTCTGTCCCCCTCCCCCGTCTGTCCCCCTCCCC